TCGGACCCCGGTGACGTGCCAGCCCCCAAGGGGCCTCTTGGTGGGGTCAGCCACCCGGCTCCTGCCCTCTGCTTCGCCCTGCGAGCTCTGCCCGGCGTCCCGCTGAGCCAGAGACGTGGGCGCCCGTCTGGCACCCCGGCCCACGTCGGCAGCGACCCCGCAGCCTGTCCCCCACAGCAGTTCACTGGAGCCTGGAGCCCGGCGCAGGAGCCCAGGGGAGCACAGAGAAGTGACGGTGACACAGGCCGGGGCTCCTCCCAGCCTGGCTGCTGCGGCTGGTTTTGGTTCTGCCTTTGGCAGCTCAGGAGCTCCTGAATCCTCGCCAAAAGCCAGCGCTGCGCCCGGGGGGGGGCCTCCCCGCAGCCTGTCCCCCACAGCAGTTCACTGGAGCCTGGAGCCCGGCGCAGGAGCCCAGGGGAGCACAGAGAAGTGACGGTGACACAGGCCGGGGCTCCTCCCAGCCTGGCTGCTGCGGCTGGTTTTGGTTCTGCCTTTGGCAGCTCAGGAGCTCCTGAATCCTCGCCAAAAGCCAGCGCTGCGCCCGGGGGGGGGCCTCTGTTCCCGAGCTGGGGGCGGCAGCCGAGAGCGCCTTGCTTCAGCTCTGGTTGCCTGGGGGAACCTCCCACTCCTGCGGCACCTCCACTGCTCTGAGTGGGAGGCCAGATCCTGCTTCCTCAGCCACGTGACCCCTCCCCCTTCTCGTCCCTACTCTGGCTGAGGGGCAGCTTTTTACCCCTTTTGCACCCCTGGTGCCAAGTACAGAGGGAAACTGAGGCATGGAGGCATCACAAACATGACAAAATTCTCCCTTTGCCCTCCTCCCCCGGGATGAAGGCAGTTTGTGTCCCTGCCTGGAGAGCGCCCCCTGCTGAGCCTCTGCCCTCCTGCAGGGGGCAACGCACAGGAGCGAGTCTCCTGCCCCAGGCCTCCCCTGCTGGCTGGTGGTGTCCCCCTTTCTCAGGGGCCCCGGGCAGGGGGAGGCCCCTTGCAAGGAGCCCAGCAGCCATCGCCTCCAAGCCTTGCCCGGGATGAAGGCAGTTTGTGTCCCTGCCTGGAGAGCGCCCCCTGCTGAGCCTCTGCCCTCCTGCAGGGGGCAACGCACAGGAGCGAGTCTCCTGCCCCAGGCCTCCCCTGCTGGCTGGTGGTGTCCCCCTTTCTCAGGGGCCCCGGGCAGGGGGAGGCCCCTTGCAAGGAGCCCAGCAGCCATCGCCTCCAAGCCTTGCCCAGGGTTCCCGGCCATGTCCCCTTCACCCCCCCATCACAGTGTTCCATGCCATGGGAGGCAGCGACCCCCCAGAGCTGGGCGCAGGGCCCTACTTAGTGCAGGGTACTAGCTGGCAGGGACTGGCCGAAGGCGGGTGTCACCACCAGCTGGTAGAACACCCCCGGCAGGATCTGGAAGCCGAGGCGCTGCATGGTTCTCAGGGAAGACTTGTTGTGGGGCAGCACCCTGGAGTACACAGGGAAGCCCAGGGCATGGAGATGTGCCCCCAGCATCCCCACCACATGCCCCATGTAGTGCTTGCCCCGATACTCAGGGAGGGTGTACCCTTGTGTCAGGGCAGCCAGGGGGTCGGAGAGGGACCAGGAGACGGGGTGCCCCTCGGGGGCCAGCAGGCAGGCGTTGGGGAAGTCACGGATCAGGTGGCTCACGTAGCACAGGCTCCAGCTGTTCCCTCCGAACATCCAGGCGTCGCTGAGCAGCAGGGCGTGGGCGGGGGACACGGGGGCCAGCCTGAACCCCTCACTGGGCCTGCAGCACAAGGCAGGGGGGAGAGAGACGGGGCAGGTGAGCACGGGAGGACTGCCCTGGCAAAGGGAGGGGCCGTCGTGGGGGGGTTAGAACCAGGCCACAGTGTTTGTGGGGCCCAAGGCGGCGTGTGGTTGGCTG